CCGCGGCTCCCACCCCCTTCCCCCGACCCCGGCCACTTCGCACCCCCCGCCGCCAACTCCCCCACCCCATCCGCCCTGGGGAGACTTGGTCTCCGAGTTGGCACCACCATGTGCCCAGGATCGCCCACCCCCTCGCATGCCTTAACCCCCCTCCTCCTGTTCCCCTAAGCTGACACTCACCAGTTTTCCCCCCCTGTCTGTGTCCCAACAGGGGCTGGAGAATCAGGAAAAAGCACCATTGTGAAGCAGATGAAGTAAGTCCCTTTGGCATTGGGATCTGTACTTTTATTAAGAATAATTTAAAAAATTATTTGTATTACCTTGCTTACTCCACATTGCTCTCCAGGCCTGGTTTTTAATTCGTGCATACATACACACAAACACACACACACACACAGTCCTGGATTTTACTCCCTTCCCCCACTCCCTGCGTTGGTTCTGGATCCTCCACCTCAACTCCTGGGGTGGGTGTTTTTTTGGGGGGGTGGGGGTAGGGGAGTGCCTGTAATTGTATGAATGACTATGTCCGCCATATTGATCAGAACATCACACTATTGGCATGATTATGGTCATTACTCTTACATCTGGAGTATTTCGTGTGTCTTCCTGACTCCATTTATCTCTCTGTGTGTGTCTCTGTTTTATTATGTCTTTATTTCTCTCTTCTCCCTCCATGCCCTCCATCCCTAACGTCCGTAATCCCACTTCCCCGTGCTGTTCTTATGGGGTAGTGATTTTGAACTTGGCTAAAACATGGAGGGGAGCCAGCTCTGGACTGGGGTGGAAGATCAAGTGTCTGCTGTTCATGGGTTTGGTGCTGAATTGGAGGCTGTGGTTTCGCCTCCCCCCCCCCCCCCCGAGGGCGAGAGTTAGGGGAGGGGGCGTGTGCAAGGGATGGGTTTCCAAGCGGATGTGACTGACACAACTGTATCTACAACAGAGGTAGAAGGGGTGAATGCCCGTCCCTGCTGTCCCCTAGTCCCTCTCCTCCCCCACCCTCCCCACGTTTCTCTCCTGACACTGGCAGTTTTCCTTCACTGTGGCCTTTATCAATATGTTTATTTACACTCTGCATAGGCCGTGTTCCATGTAATCTACCCACAATGCGGATTTCAGGCCCCACTTGCCGCCGCCCCCTTCTGCCTTAGATATCAGTTTCCCCACCTAATTATCTGGGGGTGGATTTGACTGATAGTTGAAAATTAAAACAAAATGGGATATTCCTTCTCTTGCATACTTTCTCAATAAGGAGCCTCGCCCCTCCTTCCCACTCTGAGGCTTGCTTCTTGCCCTCTCCACTCAGCAATTCCTGATGAGCCCACTGGCAGCTTTGCTTGGGGAGGGGATGGCCGGCAGGGAAGGGGTGCACGCTCTCCGGGGCCTCCTGGCCCTGCTGCTTCCGTTGGCCTGTCAGTTCGGGAAGGAGGAGTTCGTTAAGACCGTTTAGCGAGGTTTCCACGACGCTTTGCTGTGACACCTTCGTGCACACACAGCTCCTAATTAGGGGTTGCTGTGCAGTAAACAAAAATGATTATTTCTCAGCTTGACAGAATAGCCGAAGTAATTGTATCCCATAAGAAAACAATGGAAAATAAAAACCCCTTTCGTGGGAAGGTGGGTGGGAGACGAAGCGTGCTTGCGGTTTCAAAACCAAGATGCCAAAAATCTTGCATGTGTAACAGGCATGACAAGCGGGTTCTAGGCGGCGCCATGATGGTAGGGAGTAGCGACTCGGAGACAATTTCCCCATCTGCTTGACATATTCTTATTTTTGTTCGTGAGCTCCCTAGGGCTTTCTTCGCAGAGGCCCCTTGGCTAGCCGCACCCTTCTGAGCCACGGGTAATTCGGCTTGGGGCTTGTGCAACCCAAATGGATGGGGAGGCGGGGCCTGGGGAGTTGCTCTTTGCTACAAGGTGCATGTTGCATCTGCCTGAGCCTATGCAGGTCAGTAAATGTAAACCGCACCACCCCTTTTTCCAGAGGGGGGAGACGTTTTAAAACTTTAGAAGTCTGTAATCTGTAGTGGCAGACTTCGAGCCGCGTAGAAGCCCCAGCCACCGTAGCTGGGTGAGGTTTCAGGCGTTGCAAGTGGTGGACAGCGCCCAGCCGAGGCCGGAAAAGTCGATGGGGCTTAATTCGGCGGCGCTCGGTTCGGCTCGGTGCGGCCTGGGTGCGGGACTCGGAGGAACTCGGCAGTATTCGGAGCCGAGTCGGGGCCCCGGCGGAGAAAGCCGAGCCGTTTCGGAGGGGCCCGAAGGCTTTCGGAAACGCTCGGCGGGGGAAGGAGAGGGACAGACGAGTCTGCAAATTAACTTTGCATCCGCCAAAGCAACTGCTTTTCCTGAACATGCCCCATAAATTAGGTTGATTTAATAAGAAATTTAAAAATATACACTGAATCCCCCAAAGGGGACCTTTACTTTTTTTATTCAAAGAGATGTGAGCTCTCTGAGGAAATAGGTGTGCCACTTTAGAATGAAAATTCCTAATTATGTACTGGGGCAGGAAGTCCTAAATGAAGGTTGTGTGTAGACTTTCCCAGGAAAGTCCTATGTGTCTTATATTTGGTTACACCAAGAAGGGGGGGTAAATGAAGTATTTGATGTTTGAGACAGAAATAAGAGCCCTTTTTTCTCTTTTCTCTGTAGTTTCCCCTTTTCTCACCCCCATAGGACCTTGAGAACAATGTCAGGCAAAACAGATTTTGTAAATATATATATAATATATGTGTGTGTGTGTGTATGTGTGTATGTATGTATGGATATATATATATCTCCAACTCTCTTTTGGAAATAGGCTAGGTTTGCTCAGAAGGTCAATCAGAAATGTTTCTGGCCCAAGTAAATTTTTCCACAAGGGACCCTAAAGCATTCATGAATGGCAGCTTTTCCTGTGAGCCCTCTAGCTTGGCTTGAAATAAATCAGATCAGGGCCTTGTGCCAAGCTGGATGCAGGACTTGTTTTATTAACCACAAAATGTGGGATTGGTGTCACTGTATCCTAGTGACAATTTTTTTTTTAGTTCTCCCTTGCAAGAGATGGTTTTTGAGATCGCCACTTGATTGAGAGTTACTTTGAGTTAGGAGAATTAGGTGGCATTTGGAGAAAGAGGTCTCCAATATCCCTGTGCAATATGATTGATGACCAACCTATCAGACCATATATATGAATTAATGAGGATACTGTATTATTTCACCTGGGCACATGAACCTAGAGAGTCTTCTGTAGGTTATGCCCTATGACAACCTGATGATTCCCTAATGGTAGCTGTGGTTTAATAACCCATTGGATTGAGAGGAAGAATATGGATAGTCAGACATCACCAGATGCCTTTTATTCAGTATTTCCAGAAGAGCAAAGAGCCATTCCATTCAGCCTCTCTTCTCATCCATATTGTTGCTAATTAAAAGAAGAAATAGGCTTCCATAAATGCCCATAGTAACTGAAGTTAAATGATAAAGGACTGGCTGCAGCTGCTGCATAGAACAAAGTGTCAACACCCTCATCAGCCTAGGAACATTGCAGAGACTGACTTTGAAATTCTTTTGCTTGATACATGTTGTAAAGGGAAATTTACATCTGCTTAAGAGATACCATAGATTAGATTGTCATTTTGAAAGCCTGATTTTCAATACTTTTATTTAAAATTTCATTTTAACAAAGTGTCTCCCCCTTCCAACCCCCCCAACCCCTGCTTTGTGTATGTGATTGTGAATTCGTGTTAGGAAGCTCTGCATCAGACAATCTACAACTCAAAACATTTCAGTACTGAAAAACAAACAGTGATCATTGACAGCACAAATATAATTTTACACTTACTGTATGTGAGTAATCAGAGACTCTTTTTCTGTGTGTGATATTTTAAATAATTTTGCTGTTGGGGTCGTGACCTCACCTGTAATAGAGCCTCATTTTTTGTAGTCAATCAGTGGGACTTAGTTATTCCAACTAATTAAAAATTTTAAAATGTCGATTTCATTTCATTACCAAACGCTTACAAATAAATCTCTTAATGAGTTATAATTTTATGAGGTATGAAAGCATCAGAATATCACTGTAAGTGACTGCCCAATTCTGAACAAATAGTGACATTCATTTGAACTGTACCTGGTGAAAATGTAAAATAAACTATGGAGATGCTCTGGGAACCACAATTTGCCCTCATTTGAGGCACTGAGTTTTCTGTAATGTTGAGTTCAGGCTTTCTGTCTCTGGAGTATTAAGTGGAATTTTTACGAAGATAGAGTTTGAAGGTAGCAATGAGGCATTGCTTGCTAGCTGGTAGTCTTTACCTAAATAGGCACAGTAAAATGGAGCACTTTGGATGTGTGTTCATTCCCAAGGTACTTGCTTTAATGCTGTTATAAAACTAATGTAACAATATGCCTGATGAAGATGTCATTACTCATTCAAATATTCCAGCCCTTAGAAGTGAAATGTGATTCCAAGGACAGACCCCCACTTTGTTAGGGAAGGCAGTCTTAAAAGGTCACCAGCTGCCAAAAAGCTGGTGGTTTTTTTTTTTTCCTCCTAGCTGGCCTTCAGTTTGTAATTAGGGTATCTACTATTTGGTTTGGGTTCAGGGCAAGCCTGCATTCTTTTAGCACACTGCTGTTCAACACCTACAAAGTGGCAGACATTAATGGAGGTGAATAGCTCCATTGCAGTCATTATTCCATGAAAGTGCAGTCATGTAAAAGGGCATTTCTCACACATGCTGGAAGGATCCCATGTTGGGTTAGCATTCCACTGAGAGCTATTCTTCTAGATTTGTGGACTTGTTATTTCTATAATCATCTTGTTGATTGTTTTGCCTCTCTCCCTTCCTCCTGTCTCTGTGTTTATTCAAATGGATGCACCTTGCTCTCTGGGGACAGTGAGAATTCAAACAGAATGTCAGATCAAGTAGCAGATGAGTTCTCCTTTGCTGATGGATGGTGCTGTCTCCCTTCTTACTGTGCACTGAACTATAAATACCAGCAGACCTTCTTGCCGTAAGTGTGGCAGATAGTCTACCTGATCATCTCAGGAATCAGCTGTGGAATTCTTGAACCTCAATTACCCATTGGATTCTGAAATGGAACCTGTATATTTGTTGAAAAAGGCTGTTGCCAATTAAATTAAACTGGTGAAGCTTCATGTGGCTCCCCATGGCATAAAGGAATGCAGAATGTCTGTTCTATGTGTGGGACTAGATTAAATTTACAGTGCCCAGAGTGGGAGTGCTGTCTTTTTTCCTTTAACACATAGAAC